ATTTTGGAGAGTGATGATGGTTGGTACCCACCCAAATGCCTATTTACATCCAAGTATTAGGTAAAGTGATGAACCTAGAGTCACCTAAATAATTTAAAAATAAGCATGTTAGTTCAAAAAAAAAAAAAAAACCATAGGTTGCCACTAACTTTTATCCAAATGGCATATAATATTTCTTTTGATAAAGAAAAGGGGTTTGTTTATCATGTGGATACATTGTAAAAAGTAATTATTAGATAATAATTGTAATATTTTTTCTTCAAAAATATGAAATTTTAAAATAAAATTTAATTTTTGTTTTATAATTTAAAATAAACCAATAAAAGTTAAATACATAGTATCTATAATTAAAACAAAAGTCAATTTTATTATTTTTAAGATAAAAATAATAATAATTAATCAATAATTACTTCTTATCCTATATCATTAAGTTACATGATAGATAAATCCAAAGAAAAATCCAGATATATGTCTACTCTATCTTAATTTGCATCAGTTAGGTTTATCTCAACTCAATTATGGATTTCATTACCAGCATTCAAACATTAAATAGGTCATAGGGTAGCCCTTTTCTCCCCTCCACTTTGCCCAGAGTCATTATTTCCTAGAAGGCTAGAACATTTCTCAATACAAAAATGTAAGATGAAGCTATTCAAAATGGACCACGTCCCCAAAGCATATATTGTATGAAAACTGTGGTCTTAACGATTGGGTGTTACCAAGACCAAGAACTTACATTGGTCAATTGAATGATTTTTCAAACGAGAAGAAATTATAAGGAAGAAGCTTGGGTTTTTTGTTTTTTTGTTTTTGTTTTTCATCTCAAAGTATTGGTTCAAACTTGGTCCAAATCAACGACTTGTTAATATTACGTGACCCAGAAGAAAAGTGCTTGCAATATAGCATAATCCATTACGAAATAACTACGAGAATTACGTTAGTCTCAGTATCGGTTCTCTTAGGGAATGGTATTTTGCTGAAAACTATAGTTATGCCTTGTAATTGACAAAATCCGTAGGAAACTTGTGAATTTAAATATAATTCAAGTTATTTCATTTATTGACAATCGATTTTAATTTTGATGTTTATGTGTGTATCAAAACTACTTTAGTCTTAATTTTTTAAAAAGGTAATAATAGTTAATACTAAATTTTAAGACAAATTTATGATAACTATAAATAATAGTGTGGTTCTCATGTAAATAATTTACATAATTAATAATTGAAATAGTTTCATTTTAAAATTTGATATAAAAAATTATTACTCTTTTTGTTAAAACCGTTGTTTGCCAATGTTATACGATACCTGAACTGGGTCTATATACATGTGAAAAGATAAATTCTACATCAGTCAATTAAGACCGTTTACAATTTTTTTTCTGCAAAGAGGTCCGTTGATGTCCTCTGAATAATATTTTTCATGGCTATGGAAGTTTCTATTTTCCCAGCTTTGAATCTTTCGGACAAGTGGAGTGGACGTGTTCATCCAAAAAAAAAAGAAAAAAAAAAAAAGGACAGGCGGAAGAGAAGTCTTGACTACAGATATTCATCAATGATAATTTTCTTAGAATTATCCACCCAACAATTAAATTTTTAGTAGATTTAATTTAATTTTTTAATTTTTTAATTTTTTAAACATAAATTTTAAATAAAAAATTAATAATTTATATAAATGATAATTAAAAGTTATTTTAATCAAATAAAAGCACTTAATAAGAATTTTATGTAAGAAGAAATTTTTTTTTTAATTTTTATTTAT